GCAGTAGATGGAAAAGATTCTGTCTACTTCCCACATGAAGACTGTACCAAATTCTGGCAATGTTCTAATGGTGTCCCCTATTTGTTTAATTGCTCTGCAAATTTGCATTTCAATCCTAAATTAAATGTTTGCGATTGGCCGGATCAAGCAGGTTGTRAAAAMAAAGAAGATAGTAGCAGCGGTAGTAGCAGCAGCAGCAGYGAGAGCAAAGAATCTGGAGAAAACTCTAAAGGAAAAGACGATGAWAAAGATCAGAGTGGTGACAGCAGTAGTGGCAGTAACAGCAGCAGCAGCAGCAGCAGCGAAAGTAGTGAAGAAGGTARCARCTTTTAAAAAATATTTTGTATCTTTCTGYAATCCTAGTTCTTTATTAGGTCCTGAATGTCCCTCAGTAGACGGTGCGACTCCAGTTTATATACCACATGAAGACTGTACGAAATTCTGGCAATGTTCAAATGGCACTCCGTATCTTTTCGATTGTCCTGCCAATTTGCATTTTAACCCCAAACTGAATGTTTGCGATTGGCCAAATGACGCAGGATGCAAAGGAAGAAAATAAATTATGTATTGAAGTATCCATTATTGGAAAAATAAATACTACTGAATTTTATGTCTTGTTTTTTTTTTTAATGAACCTTATAACATTTTTTTAAGTCTGTACCACGTTTTTAGACAAACAAAGGAGAAACTAAACATTTACTAGTATTGTCGCGTCCTTATTTTCTCATAATAATTTATAATTTGTATTTAGTTAATTTAAAGAGAGCGCTGACATTCGGCCCTAGTTTTGGTTGTTAAGAAAAACAAAAAGTTGTTTATGTTGAAAAAGGTTTCGTTTTATGTTTGAGTTTTTTTGTGTGAATTATTCGTATTTGTTGGAATCACTCGTCCTTACTCGAAACTAGAAAGTGATAATTKTGGAAATTGCTCAACAGAATCGCAGATTTTAAAAATAGTGAAGATTCCTATCCTCCCAACCTCTTTCCCTTCCTTTCCTATTTCCCTACCTCATCCTTTGGATTCTACGTGGGAACACTCAAAGGTAGGAATTTTCATTTACCTCTTCCCTATCGTTGTCTCCGCCGCGAAACAAGTATGTAGAAATATAAATTTCAATTTTTATCGTCCCATGTATGTGTTTTTTTCCAAATAAATTTTGGTACTTTGTACCAAATACTATCATTTAACATTTAAGCTTTAGTATTTAAGATTTAATTTAAGAGTTCCAAMCCAGTCTTTCATATTTCTACTAGCCACTAGAAGGCTTTTTTCTAAACCGGCTTCAAGGATTTTGACTTTCAGCAGTTAGGTAAGCAGTTAGGTAATATGATCATAAAATAATAAAATTCATAGACTTGACTAGGCAAGTAGATGCATTATGGTAAAAAAACAATTTAAAATCAGAGATATTAAAACTTTTTCATTTAACACAACAAAATCGTGAATTAGAAAAAA